CTTAGCCCACTATAAACATTTGTTATTATCATCACTATCATGCTTACTGAAGTGTTGTCACGTTGAGATCTGAGAACAGGGTTAGACACCGGTGGGTAGGAGGTGGTATTCCATTTATAGGAAGTGATCATTCCCATTGGCAGTCATCCTGGTAAGTCACTGAACTTTGGATAGATAATGAGATTTGGGACAGTAGTATTTAATACCTCACCAAGGTCCATCTTCTTCTTCTCTTTGGGCCTACTGCTGTTGGCATCAGATGTCTAAGGATTGTAGACTAGAACAGATTCCTGGTGTTGGAGTTTTATCAGTCCCTGCCTCAGAGAAAGGCTTGGAAGGATGCAGGAAGCCATATAGTTGATATAAGGGAATGATATAAGTAACCTGTGAGTGTGCACCTGGCCTTTGAGCTCTGAGAGCAGCGCTTCCAGAAGCGCTTGAAGATAACTCTACTGATTGTGATTCCCTTCTGCCATTCAGGAACTTCAGTAAAGTTCTATAAAAAGGCGCAGCCAACTCAACTCGGCTGCAAGGAGTGAAGAGAAGGATGTACTCCATATTTCCGGGAGCAGAGTCCAGCCTCCTCCCACCCCAAGGCTAGTGGAATAGTTACAGAATACACTGCAGAGGTCAGACGTCCCAGACTTACAGGAGGAGATCAGCAGAGGTATAATCAGTGATGATTAGATGGAGTGGAAATAGATTGAGTCCAGAGCACACATGACTGGGGAAAAAGCAAAAGCCCAGCCTCACAAAGGGGCCCTGACATTACTTGGAGAGGGCTACAGGAGTTGGGGAGGTACCAGTGTCTTACCATACTGGCAGGTGTGGCTTAGGACAACTATAATCAGGGTTCTTAGGTTACTGTAATATCACACATATTTGTAGGTTTCTGAAGCCCAATATTTGTCACATGCAAGATAGTCAAACTTTCAAAACACAACAGTTTAATTAAGAAAAAGGCTGCCAAAATGGCTCCCCACCATTTTCCATAAGAAGAAAACTACTTGGCTCTCTCATGTTTGGATCTACCCCCAACATTCTCTATTTGCCTTTATCACTTTTTTTATTTATACTCTTTTATGACTATTTACTTGTCGTTCTCAAACACGAGGTTATGGGCTTCTTGAGGATGTGGGCTTCTGTTGGATTTTTAAATATTTCTTCTCTCTCTTTTTTTTTTCCTTTTGCTTATTAATTTCTGAGTCACCGTTGCTTAGCTGAGCTCCTGACTTAAATTAGGCACTCAGGAGGTACTTGTTGAATGAATGAATCATCGGTTGAGGATAATTTATGTATGAGGATCTTTTAAGTCAGATTTCAACCAGCCTTTGGTGATAAGGTGATGTCCAGTCATGTTTCTTCTGCTCCTTTACTTTTTCTAAGATCTACAGAGCTGTCCACTTTGATGCTTCGTGCAGATCAACCCCTCCCCTTTTTGGAGCCATTCTCCTCCCACGTTCTGCTCCTTTGTGCCCTAGGAAGCGCCTGTTATGTTACCAAGATCCTTTCTGCTATGTTCAGATCTTTTCTTAAAAATCCCTCTGCATCTTTGATTAACTAACTCTGGCCCTTTACCTCTAAGATAACTCTATCTTAATCCAATGGCTGGCTTCTCTTTTTTTCCAGTGACATTAAGAGGTTGATGGTTGTAGAACTGGATCACTTAATTTCTTTTTTATTTTTATGTCTGCTTTTCTTGGGTGAAGTGGGCCCAAAAAGAGTAGGATGAATGTTGCAGAGAGTGAGGAGATAAGCCCAGCATGGTTAAGTTGGAAAGTAGACTGGAGACATATTAATGCTGTATGATGGAGTCTGAAGTTTTCTTTTGAAGAGAGGGTGATGGATTAAAGGTTTTTACATGAAGAAGCCACACAGTAAAAGCTCTAATTATGAAAAATAATGAGTGGCATGTCTTAAATGGGCTAATGCTAGCAGAGTTTGAGTCAGGGAGATGAGATAACACAAGCTGACCATGGGAAATGGCCATGGGTACAGGCGGAGGGAGATAGACATTTCCAAAGAAGAATATGTAAGATTTTATGACTTACTAGGTATGGGAGATGAGAGAAAAAAAGATGACTGGCATCTCCGGCTTGGGTAGTGCACAAATGGTGGCTGTGTATTAACAAGTAGAGAATAGAAAAGGACAGAAATAAATCAGCTATAAACTCAGTGGTATTATTTAAGTAAATAATGCCCATAGGTCTCTCATGGGCAGGGTCTCACATGGATGAGTGGCAGCTTAATGGTACAGGTGTAGGTAGGGCCTCAAGTGACAGATGATAAAAATATAGCAACTGTCAGCATTTTCACCGACACTTTCCACATTAATCAGGATTACCACAAAGACCTAGCATAAGAATAGCATAAGAGAACTAACATGAAAATCAACATCTTTCAGTCTAAGGCCAAGCTATGCCTCTTACTAGCTGTGGGAGATAGAATATTTCACTTCTCTGAGCCTTAATCTTTCTAATCTGTAAAATGGAAAACTAATACTTACCTCATAGGGTGGTGATAATTGCTAACTAAAAATGTGTGAGGAATTGATTTATGAATCACCAGACATAATAGCTGGCTTGAAGAAATAAAATGGTAGTCTTAGGAGTCATTTAGGCTTTAAAAAGGCGAGATCCAGAAATAGCAGGACAGGCCCAATATTCTGTAATTAACTGCGTATCTGTAATTTTGATGAAACTTGGAAAGGAAACCCATTTAATAATCCAAATGGCTTCATGAGATGGGATGTTACATTCTCATACTTTATGCACTGATGGTGTGTCTGAGATGGAAGAGGCTGTAAGCATCATAGAGTTTTATTTTTCAGATGATGAGTCTAAGCCCAGAAAGTTGTAAAACTTGCCTGAGGTCACAGAGACCAATGGGAATGTGCATGAGAACCCACTCTTCTCAACTCCCAGCTCAGGACTCCTCCACCATATTACAGGGCCTTTCCATTGCTGTTGAAAAAAAATACATTTCACTCTGGCCAAAGAATCATCTTTAAGGGCCTGCTTTATTTATTTAAACTTCATTTTATTTTTAAAATTTTTTTAAGTTTCAGTTTATTGGCATAAGAATGATATTTGGTCTGAAACTCATCTTTGCTGGCCTAGATGCTTTACCTAAAACTATACATTCTTTGGTCTTTTCCTAGAAATTAACATTTTTTTCTTTCCTCCCCCTAAGCCCTACCCCCAACCAAAAAAAAAAGAAAAAGTAAAGCAAGGGATGGAAAACTTCTACACATACTTCAGCACTTCTAAGCCCTGAGGGGAAAAAAACCATAGAAAATTTACAGTGGTAAGATGGTGGTGTTAGCCAGAGCTTTCTACAGCCCTGCAGTAAAGGAGAACTTGCATTGTGCACAATTTCAAATCCAGAATGACAGGAAATTTTCTTTCCCCACTTTTCTTGCCACTCTTCCAACCTGCCATAGTAAATATAAACATTTCATTTTAATTGTTGGGGACCTTTACCCTCTCCATCCCCATGATTACCACTTTCCAATCCCTTATTAAGTAAACTCTTGACTGGGGCCACCCTGACATCAGGCTGGGTAAGGAAAGGATGTGTCCTGAGTCCCTTGGTGCCTAGAAGGGTTCTCAGGTGATTCAGAGAGGGGAACCTTGTGTACCATTCTTGAAACTGACTCATTCAAGCATGTTCTCCTTTGAAAGCTGATGTCTGCTCTCAGGCTGTGTTAGATGGTGAGTCAGGACACTGAACTAAACTCTGACTAACTCCTGTTCATACTTCAGAGGCAGAAAGTGTGCCTTCTTTATCTTAGTATTCCCTGCTCCTGATTCTCAGTGGCGTGCATGGACAAGTGTACACAACACAACACAGTTACGTGTGTATTATCTGTATGTGTGTGTGTTTAATTTATTGAGATATAATTCACATAGCACATGCACAATACAGTTTTGCTGAATAAATAAATGTATTTAAAACTTAGTGGTATTCTTTCAAGTAAGAACATTTATTGAGCACTCGCCACCCCCGCCAAATCCTTATCCATTTGCTTGCTGATATTCTTAATAAGGAGTTTGATTTCTTCTCCTAAAATTCTGATATCTATGAAAATACAAATATTTCCAAGACTAATAATAAAACAACAAAATTTAATAATAATAACAGTAAGGTTTAACCTTTAATGAATGTTTATCATGAGCCTATGTTGTGCTAAGCATTTTGTGTGCCTCTTCTTCTTTTCTCACTACAGCATCACTTTAAGGGAGGCACTATTATTATCTCCATTTTACAGCTGAGGAAACTGAGGCTTAGAGAGGTCATTTAACTTGTCCAAGGTCAAAGATCTAGTAAGGTGATGAGCAGGGTTTGAATGAAGTTCTGTAGACCCCCAAACCTCACTTGTTACACTGTATCGAGAACTTTCCAATACTTCTCAAAATGTTCATTTACACTTTAGTGAAAAAAAAAATTTAAGTGTGTATTTATGAAAAAAAAAACTTTCTTTGAAGTTGAAGATACTGATGTTCAAGTTATACCAGAGAAGCAATTGACAAGAAAATATTTGTAGACCTGAAAAAAAAAGAAATAGGATCCCAGTCAAATATTGGTGTTCTTCACAGATTTACTCTGAACCAGTTGAGATTATGTAGACCGAAACACTTATGGATTTTCTTTCATTGCCTCACTCCAGAATTTTAGGGTACCTGACACAACTTTGACATGGTCATCTCCAAAGCATTTCTCTAACTGAGAGCCAGCAAGTAAAATTCGTGCAGTTTCTATTAGAAATAGTTTTGATATAAGCATCATATAATATTGGAAGTTAAGGATAATAGATGGAAGGAAGAAAGATAATAGATTGAAAGAACAATGTTAAGGGCAAATGTACTTTTAAGATTTTTGCAGTATGCATCTATTTATATATAAATAAATATCTAATTTATATATAGTTATATATAATATAGTCTCTATTTAATATATGTATATTTATCTTACCTGTAATTTTCTGTACACCCAAGTAGACTTCTCAACACCAACATAATTTGGACTCACCGGAGAATCCACAGGCTTCACTCTGGAGATGAATGGACTCAGACAACCATATATGGGAAGAGAGCAAGCACTACTCCAAGTAAACAGATGGAATTGTGCCCTGAGTATTTTTCCAAAAAGAAAAGATCCAGGGGTAGGAGCCAGAAGAGAATAAGCACAGACAGAAGCACAAAGTTCAATGGACTCAAGCTGAGCAGGGTGGGGAGACAGGCGGGTGAACAGATTCACACCACCCTTGTCCCTGCTTTCTCCGCACTCCAGCGGCATCATTGTCCGGCATCATTATCCACAGAGCTTCAAAAAATTTCAGACTCCTGGGTCCCACGGTGAACCCAGGCTCGGTGAACCTGAGAAAGTCATTTCTTGTTCATGCAACATTGAGTGACCAGAGCACACTGGAGCTTGGGGCAGCCACTGCATTTTTGGAATATGACAAAGAATGCTGTCTCATTATGTTGTGAGGGTGAATCTACTTCCTGCATAATGTGTGGCAGGTGAGTGATTGTTTGCAGCTTCTTCATCTCTAAAACTCAGCTACCTAGCGCTCGCTCCTATGACAAAGGAAAGGGAGATAAAGCAATTGGAGCATCTTGGTAGGAATAAACAATACAGATACAACAGGAGCTCTACATTTTACTTATGTAAACCAAAAATATAGGCTATGTTTTGCCTGCTTTTACTGGTTTCCAGAACTCTGTACCTGAAAGGAGGTGGTGGAGACTTGGCAGGGGTGGGGCGGTGTGGTATTTCTTCTCACACAGTAGAGTATCCACAGGATCCCTGCCTCAGTTCTCAGTGTATGGGAGGGGGGTTGTTAAAAATACAGGTTCTCAGGCCCCACTCTACACCTGTGGTATCATAATCTCTGAGTTATGGGGTCTGGGTATTTGATTTTTAACAAGTTCCCCAGGAGAGTCTTACGCACAATGAATTTTAAGAACTAGTACTCTGACCTGTAAGTCAGAAACAGGAATTATAGCCTTTCAGTGTATTGAATGAAATAGGTGACCAAATACCGTCTGTTGAAGTAAATGATGACTGGAAGAAAGAAATTATTTCATCCTTGATCCTTCTAGTAGCATGTTTTCATAATCAGAGGCCTTGGTAGGTTGTGTGTGGGGTGGGTAAGGCAAGCATTAAGCCATACC